GTCATCTCATTGACTGGAAGAATGGCAAGTTCAAGAAGGATACATCAATCATTGCAGCTGTTGATTTGGTTTTGTCAAGTCCAAAAGAAGCCTTGAGCAACCTATTTAAGGAGCCCATGAGGCAAGTTAGGAAACTTGACGAGGGGGTGGAGTGTAAGAACTCATTGACACCCCCGCAATGTGTGTATAATTTCACTCCTGATTCCACAGAAAAAGAAGCAGCTGGCAAGCCAGCACATCCCTTAGAAAGCTTTACAGATACGACTAACGAAGACAAAACCAAAATGATTACTACTGAAGAAGGATCCAAACTGACCAAGACCAATGCGCAAGAACCCAAAACAATCACCAGTGAAGACTCATCCAAATCTGCAGCTGTTGATAGTACAGCTTTGTCAGTGCTGAAAAAACCCACGAAGGACAACCTGGAGTTGAAGCCCGAGAGGCACGCTAAGCAACATGACAAGGGGGTTGAATTTATTGGAAATTCACTAAAACCCCCGCAGAGTACGTGTATTAATCTATCAAGCCCAAATGTACCCAAATATGCTGGCAAGCGTTCTCTTTTTCCAAAACAGAACTCTTTACTCCGACTCCGAACAGGACTTCCAAGGCTGAATCTAATAATGAAGAAACTACAAGAATCACGACGCCCAGCTGCAGCAATGATTGATGCGGCGAAAACATCTTGGAATGTTTCAGCAAAGCTTGCTGCTGACCAAGTCAAGGACTCACCTGCAAAAAGTGCCGCCGAACTCGTACCGGCATACTATCATGCCTACCTGCCCATGTTTGAAAAAGACAACTAAGAATACAAGAAGTGTTCGTAGAAAGGAAATGAGAACATGCTTAGAGTCTTCAGAGTGAAGCTCAGCATGATGGTCTGAATACTTATGGCCACTAAGTGTCGAGTACGATTCGAGATACAAGTGTTGTATCAACAGGACTGAAAAATGGAACAATCCGACGTACGACTTCTCCTTGGGCGGCGCCTGTCTTATTCACGGGCAAAAAAGATGGTAATCTACGACCATGCTTTGACTATAGGAAACTCAATGCTGTTACTGTCAAAAATAGATATCCTCTCCCGTTCACTATGGAACTTATTGATAGTCTACTGAATGCGGATGAGTTCACCAGCCTTGATATGCGGAATGGCTACAACAACCTTTGAGTACGAGAAGGTGATGAAGCAAAGTTGGCATTTATATGCAAAGAGGGACAATTTGAGCCTTTAACAATGCCCTTTGACCCAACTGGAGCACCTGGATTCTTTCAGTACTTTATTCAAGATATTCTGAAAGGACACATAGGACGTGATGTAGCAGCATATCAAGATGATATTCTCATTTATACTGGGCCTGGAGTTGATCATAAAGCAGTAGTAAAAGAAGTGTTAGATATTCTAAAAGGTCAAAATGTGTGGCTGAAGCCTGAAAAATGCAAATTTTCACAAGAGGAAATATCATATCTGGGGCTAATTATCTCAAGAAATCAAATCAAGATGGATGAAAGCAAGGTCAAGGCAGTTAAAGCTTGGCCAACGCCAAAGAATCTCTCTGAAACTCAAACATTCCTTGGATTTGCCAACTTTTATCGTAGATTCATAGACCATTTCTCGAAAATAGCACGTCCTTTACACGAATTATCATAAAAAGATGTTGTATTTGAATGGACTGATGAGCGGAATAGGGCATTCAAAAAGTTAAAGACGGCATTTACGACGGCCCCGGTATTGAAAATTGCAGATCCATACAAGCCATTTGTCTTGGAATGCAACTGCTCCAATTTTGCGCTTGGTGCAGTGCTTTCTCAAGTTTCCAACAACGACAATAAATTACATCCAATTGCATACCTGTCAAGATCTTTGATTCAAGCTGAAAGGAATTACAAAGTATTTGACAAAGAACTTCTAGCGGTAATAGCCTCCTTCAAGGAGTGGAGACAGTACCTTGAAGGAAATCCGAACCGACTCAATGTCATTGTGTATAGTGATCACAAGAATTTGCAGTCCCTTATGACAACTAAGGAACTAACAAGGAGGCAGGCGCGTTGGGCAGAAATTCTCGGAAGCTTTGACTTTGAGATACGCTTCAGGCCCGGACGGCAGTCGACTAAACCGGATGCACTCTCACGGCGACCTGATCTAGTTCCTGCGGAAGGCACGAAACTCACGTTCGGCAGGCTTTTGAAACCTGAAAACCTACCTAGTGATGCGTTTATTGATGCATTGGAAGTAGCTGATATGTGGTTCGAAGAAGAGATAATGGGAGACATTGAAGCGCATGAAATTGATGAAGATGAACAAGATGAACATCAACCATTCATGACAGACAGTGAAATTCTGAAATTAATTAAAGAAAAAAGCACAACCGATCAAAAGCTCAGTGACTTAATAACTTTATGCGGAGAACTACCAAATTCAAAACACCTCAAGGATTATCAAGAAATCAATGGAGTATTGTATTTCAAGAACAAAGCAGTTGTTCCGCAAGATACTGACCTGAAGCTGAATATCTTAAGATCACGGCATGACAGCAAACTTGCGGGCCATCCGGGGCGAATGAGGACTCTGGCTCTAGTCAAACGATCCTACCACTGGTCTTCCATGAAGGCGTTTATAAATAACTATGTTGACGGATGTGGGTCTTGCCAAAGAGTGAAATCGAGAACTGACAAACCCTTTGGAAGTCTGCAGCCGTTGCCAGTACCAGAAGGACCTTGGCTTGATGTTTACTATGACTTAATCACGGATCTTCCGGAGTCTGGAGGGTATGACAGCATATTGACAGTAGTTGATTGACTAACAAAGATGGCTCATTTTATCACATGTAAGAAGAGCATGACATCAGATGAACTTGCAGATTTGATGATTAAGGAAGTCTGGAGGCTGCACGGAACACCCAGAACAATGACTTCCGATAGAGGCAATGTCTTTATTTCACATATTACAAACGACTTTCACAAGCACCTAGGCATCAAAACCCAGTCATCGACGGCCTACCACCCTCAGACGGATGGCCAGTTGGAAATCACAAATAAGGCTGTTGAATTATACATAAGACATTTCACTTCATACAAGCAGGACGACTGGCTGACATTATTACCATTTGCTGAATTTTCATATAACAACAGTGAACATTCTGCGATAGGAGTATCACCATTTAAAGCGAATTATGGATTCAATGTCAATTTTACTGATGTACCATTGAGTGATCCATGCCTATCTTCAGTAGGACAGCGAATGTATCAGATCAAGAATGTTCAACTTGAATTGAAAGATGCAATGGTAATAAGTCAAGAACTCATGAAGAGACAACATGATGTCAAAGCAAGAAGAACTCCTGATTGGAAGAACGGCAAAAAAGTCTGGTTGAACAACAAGCATTTATCAACTACAAGACCAACAGCTAAGTTCGGGCACCGTTGGGTTGGACCATTTGCAATCTCTAAACGGATATCAAAAAATGCTTACAAAATTCTCTTACCCAAGTCTATGAGCAGAGTTCACCCGGTATTCCACGTCAACCTGTTACAAAAATTCGAGGAAAGCAAGATACTGGGACAACACAAAACTCCTCCGCCACCCATTATAATGAATGATGAAGACGAGTACAAGATTAACATGGTGTTAGATAAAAGAAGAAAAGGAAAAAAGGTTGAGTACTTAATCAATTGGAAGGGGTATGGAGCGGAACATGATTCATGGGAACCGGAGGAAGGCCTCAAGAATGCAAAACAAGTAGTAGATGATTTTAACAAGAAGTATCCTGAGGCTGAATTTAGATATAAAAGGACAAGGAGAAAGCAGTGAGGGTAAGGCTTTTTCCCCACGGGGTTTTTTAATGCCACCCGTGGAAAGATGCTGGCCTGCAAGGGGAGGTCAAGACATAAAAGGGGGGATGGTGTTATGACCTGTCACACATGTTACATATAGGTCTTAGCATACTTGTCTCGTGTCCCATATATTGCCTCTACTCACTTAGCAATCTATTACATTCACGAGACCACCCTTGCTGTTCTCCTTGCATCTCTCTCGAAGCTACAACAGTGTGTGTGTAGTCAGTAATTGTTTACCAATTGCAACAATGCTCTAATGTGCATTAAGAGTGAAATTTTGCCAAGCCATGTACCTAATCTGATTAAAGAGGCGGTAATGGTATGAGCCTATGTTGAGGATTTGGGGATTTGATACTACCTCCTAGTTGCTTAAAAGTTACCACTTGTCCCCCAATTTTAGGAAGGAGGTGGGGATTTGTAAGTTAGTTGGGTTTACTGGAACATGATAAGCCATGTGGAAATTGCAGACCTAGCTTGATAGACCTCTGATCCCCATTCTATGACTGTCTATCTTGATCTAGTTCCTGTAAATAAGAATGAGAGTGAATGAAACTTTTACAGCCAATTTCAGAATGAATGATTGTTTTGAAAAGGGCATCATATTGCAAAATCTGATTTTGTTTTTGATTGAGTTTTTTCTCTGCTGAATTTGAGAATATAGAGAATCCAAAACTTGTAAAAACACTTATTGGTTGGTTTTGACCACTGCAGCAATGACTTTTCTTAAAAAAAAGTGGTCAATCATTCTCAGATCAGCTGTAGTCTTGAGAACAAAATCTGCTGAAAGTGGATTATAAGCATTTGGAGTGTCTAGCGTATCTTCACTTTTGAAGCAACTTTCAGCTTGGATGATGTTGGGCCTCGAGTCAGGGCTTTTATCCAGGTCAGGTCTGTGGCATTGGCAGGCTACGACCGGGTCTATCCTCGGGCACACCTGGCTGATCAAGAGGACTGATCACAGGACCGGATGATACGACGCGTGAGACTTTGAGCCATCAGAACGCAATTCAATAACGTAAAATCAAGAAGGACCCGTTGACTTATTTCAAAACTTCAATGGAAATTTATCAAAAAAACCGTCTCTATCAAATGTGGATCCAACACGGTCTAGTGGTCTCAAGAAACCTCAAGCAAACAATATCATCAACATATTCTTCATAATGAATGTACCAACAAGTTCATATCAACTTTTACCACAAACCGAAAAAATCGAAGCATCAACTACGATCACGCTGCCTACCTATTTGTTAACATCGCCAGAGCTCAGAGAGATATGCAGGAGGTTAAGAGTAGATCGAAGTGGTTCGAGAATAGCTTGTCTTATTCGAATTGATGCAAAAATGGTCGAATTAAGAGAAATTGGTGAATATCTTCATGATTAAAGAGATATTTCCACCTTTCATTGTCATTTGAGCATCCTTGAAACTGACTTGAATGCTTAATTGATTTGGTTTCCATTCTTGATCGCATCAACAGAACAGATGACCCAGAAATACAACCAATGCTATTGCGATACATGTTATCATTTAAGATATTTAACTGAATGTTCCTATTTAGCATCTATGCCGATGGAAATCAAAGAAATCATTGCTTATTGGGTTCATCATCTACCTCCAAATCAAACACAAGATACCTTCGATGAGAGTGATAGCGATGATGAAGGTTAGTCTCATTCGATTTCTAGTAGATACATTACATGTTATTCTGGAACAAGTTTTCGAAACCCAGGTAACAGTCAGTATGTATAAGGTTTCATTGAACAATCTCTTCGTTGTATCCCACTCATTGTCATCCTCATGATTGTATTGACTACTTTTTGAAATGCTCAAATTCATCGCCTTTCCTGCGTGTTCCATGAAGATCATCGTATTGGTCAATTATACACTACTGACAATATTCTCAACCTTTTAAAGGTCTTCCCTTGGATGATATTCGATCTCTAGCATCAGTCAATCGTTCATTTTATCAAGTTTGTCGACCTTATCTCTTTGAGGTAAGTAAACCAACTAATTTCACAGATTTTAATGATTGCGAGTGATCAAACAATTGACCTTGCACACTCTTTCTCAGCGGCTTAACTTCTTAGGTGTTGTACTCAGGGACGTAAAATTTGCACAACGAGAGATCGTGCCCAGGCACTTCCACTATGTAAAGAAGATTTGGTGGAGAATATCATTTACAGAGTTATCTGTGCACGAAGAATTGTGCGAAAGTATGAAGGATGAATCTTGGCAATCGCTTTGGGATCCAGAGGATCGATCTGAACTTTTACTTAAAATCTTATTAGCCTGTCCTAGAATTACTGATCTTGATATCGATATTGATATACCAATGGATCCCACAACCGATATCAAGCGTTCATCAAGGCGAAGATCTAATGGACGTGACATGCTGCACAAGTTCATGACACCAGTCTCTCAACTCACCTCACTTACTCATCTTTCACTTACAGTTCCTTGTCGTCAAAAAGCTTTCAGTGAAGATTCCTTAGTGAGGATTATCGTTAACCTTTACCAACTTCAAAGTTTTACTTGTACAAATATCGATGCCGCTCATCGATATGTCATATACGGTTCCGAACCTCCTCCATCACCACTTGGAGCTCAACTCGCTGGTCTTTCTCACCTAACCCGGTTGGTTTTAAAGGATGTTCGTTGCTTTAATGATAGTTGGGCGCAGTTAAATTGGCGTAGCCCACTTAAAGAACTCGCATTGATAAATTGTTCTGAAATCACCGTATCACTCTTTCATGCCTTTACCAAACTTTTTGCCTCTACATTAGTCGAACTTGAAACATACAAGGTACCATCCGAACCAACTTGGGCAGCACATCCAGAATTACAAGAAGCATTGGGTGGACTATCACAATTTGAATTACCTAGACTAATCAGTTTGAAAACATCTCAACATTTATCAATCAATTTTATAAGAGCATTTTATACATCAAGAAACCTTACCAAACTTTCTTTAGATAAAGTCACCTATGTGAAATATGACGACTTGGTGAAGTTAATAGAGGATCAAATTTGGTCTAATCTCCAAGAATTTGAGATCACACACCGAACAACATCTAGGGATCTACCTTCGGGTCAAATTAAGGAATTGAAGTTGATGTGTCAAAGAAATGGAATCCAGATGAATGACACTCATTGCTATGAAGAATACGAACATCCTGAACCGCAAGAGGAAGATAGTATGGATGAGTCAGAAGAAGAATATGGAGGATTGTATTGGGAAATGTAGCAAACTTGAAAAGACTTTTGTTATTTTAGAAGACGCGAAATAAGTTGAGATATCATGATTTCTCCCTCCGCTCAACTCAATCTGTTCAATAAGTACATATCTTGTTGTCTCAAGTCTTAATTGTGGAAGCCATAATTTGGGCATGTATAGGCATGGTGTTGTATGTAGTATCCAAAAGATTGATTGTTTTGTTTTGCTTGAAATTTCACCAATGGATTCATCATGATTTTGCAGTGGTTGAGCCCAACATTGTTGAGGTGAAGATTGAGATACTTCAAGAAGCAAGTCAATTGTTGCTGTAAAAAGCTCTATTATATCATTACTTAGGCCCCGTTTGGTTGCAATTATTTTACTGTGGTATTCGGACCATCGCAGTAAAATAATCGCAAATCAAATTTGGGCGTTTGGTAGCCCAAATTTAGAGATTATCGTACCACATTATTTGGTCGATAATAGGGGGTTTCAAGTCAGAAATATTTTGTGAAACTTTTTAAAAAACGGACAAGTTTCTTAAATTTTGCGGTGGGACTTTTTTCTGCAAATATACGGTCAACACCATTCGGGACACCTAAAAAGGTGTCCCGATTTTTTTAAATTTACGGTTATTTTGCAACATCGGACAACTTGTTGGACTGTAAAATACCGTAAATTTATTGACTTGAAACCCCCTAATCTCACAATCTCAAGGTAAAAGTACAAACTCCTTTTTGCCAATTATTTTCAATTACCTCCGATTATTTCCGTACGTGAGCAGGGGACTTGTCATATTTCGACCTCTTCCCAGTAATACAATCAAGGAAATCATTTTATCAACATCATCACCACATCGATCTCGTTACTTCATCGATCACTCCACCTGGTGAATCATCAAAATCATCACCTTTTGATATCATCACTTCAACAATATCATCGTGTCTTTAAATCGTTGTTTGTTAATTTCAAGTTATCAACATCATCACTCTTTTTAACCCAACAAGTAAAGGGAGTGAAACTTGAATGATGCAAATAATGAGAATAATGAGGATAACGAGGATAACGAGATTGATGAGAAATATGAAAACATTGTGGATCGAGCTCGATTCAAGAATGATAAAGTAGAAATAAAATGTAATTACATGAAACTTTCAATGATCTAATGACCCGTTTTAATGAAAGCCGAGATAGATAAATTGACTGAGTAAACAAGAGATTTGATGAACCTGATTGATGAAGAATCAATAATGAGAATTTTAAAGAGTTGAATAAAAAATTGTTAGTTGTCACAAGCGCTGTAATTTGGCTTTGGTTGTGAGTTGCCAAACGATGATTCTTAAAAACCACCGTTTATTTTCGTACTCCGATTAAATTGTGAGTTGGAACCTTTCCTGCATTATTTGCTCATTTCCTGTGGTACACTTAGGGTGTTCAAACCTGTGCAAGAAATGTGCAAGACCGACGTGCAAGATCCGTGCAAGATCCGTGCAAGATTTTTTGCACTAATCTTGCACAGTAATTTTTTTGACAACCCGAGTTATTGTGTTCCAAACCGTGCAAAAACCGTGCGAGACCGACTCTTGCAAGTTTTGTGCAAGATCCGTGCAAGTTCTATTCATATCTTGCACAGAACTTGCACAAAACTTGCATGAATTGATTTTGAGGTTTGAACACCCTAACTTTTACTGTAGTACACCAAAATCAATCGCAACCAAACGGGGCCTTAATTTTAAATGAAATATCTGGATTGCCACCCATGCTAGGGCTGCAAAAGTATCCTCAGCCCTAGATTGGGTGATTTTTGGCCGGACCCCCGGACTTACGAGTCCGCCCCAAAATATCCAGGCGGATATCGGGGTCGGAGCTCACATTGTTTTCGCATCTTTCCATGGATTGATGATTTCTTGTGTTGTGACTGCATACAATTAGGAAATCAAGCATGACGAACCAACCAACAAGTTCATCTCAACTTACTGAGAACAAGCAATCCGATGAAGACACCACGATCAATCTACCTACCTCTTTACTCACAGAAACGAGCCTCAGAGAGATATGTAAAACATTAAGATTAGATCAAACTGGTTCGAGGGTAGCTTGTCTCGATCGAATCAAATCAAAGTTGAAAGAATCTAATGGGCATGGTAAATGACTACCTGTTTAGAAGATATCAAGACCTCGATGTCATACAAGTTGGTGAAACTAACCTAAGTCTCGATTGATTTGATTTCATGGGGAAACACATTGACAGACAACAAGACGAAGAAATCAAAACAATGTGATTTGAGCGAGACAATTGGATCTTCTAGACATTCATCACTATCATCTATGCCAATCGAAATCAAAGCAATTATAGTTTATTGGGTTTATCATCTTCCCTCAAGTCATGAAAAATATCAACCCCGAAATACTCTGATCATTCATTCCAGTCATGTTCATGAATGGGTGTCAAATTCGACCACAGCAGATTATCTTCCACGCCCTCGTCGAAAAAGGTTCCAAAAACAAGGTGACAGTTAGTATCAGGTTTCTCTAAACGTCTGATGATGAACAACCTGTATATTGTCCTCATGATCGAGTCAACTCGTCTCTCCTGAAGCATCAAAATCATTGGCTTTCCTAGTTGCGCAACGAATATCATAGGATTGTATAATTATGTACTACTGACAATAGCGCATTATTCCTACTGTTCCAAAGGTCTTCCTTTGAAAGATATTCGATCTCTCGCATCAATCGATCGTTCATTTTATCAAATTTGCCGACCTTATCTCTACGAAGTATGTGAACATTCCAATATCCACCATTCCTGAGATCACAATAATTGTGACTGATCGAATGATTGATCTGAACCCGCTTCTTCAGTGGCTTAATTTCTTAGGTGGTGATATGAGGATCATAGCATTGGCATATCAAGACATCATTCCAAGACACGCCCAATATGTAAAGAAGATCTGGTGGAGAATCTCCTTTTCAGAGATGTGTTCATACGAAGATAAAATGTGCAAAGACATTCAGGAAGAGGATTGGCAATCAACATGGGATCCGATACGAAGATCTCAACTCTTACTTGATATCTTACTTGCTTGCCCTCGAATCACCAATCTTGATATCGATATCGATATGCCAGAGGATCTCTCACCCATCGTCAATTCTCCATCAAACTCACCTACTGATGGACATGAGATGATGTACAAGTTTATCAAGCCTATCTCTCAACTCACCTCACTTACTCATCTTTCACTCACTGTGCCTATCGGCCAAGAAAGTTTCAGTGAAGATTCCTTAGTGGAGATTATTTCTGAACTCTCCCAGCTTCAAAGCTTTGCTTGTTCAAATATTGATTCCACTCGATCTGAGACTACACGGGATTCCGATCACCAATCTTGTCAATCACCACTTGGAGTTCATCTCGCTTCCCTTTCTCATCTCACCCGACTGTCCTTGAGAGATGTACGCTGTTTTGATGCTCGTTGGAATCAATTAAAGTGGCATAGCTCACTTGAAGAACTCACTATGATAGAATGCCATCGAGTTACCGTATCAGAATTTCACGCCTTCACCAAACTTTTCGCCTCTACTTTAGTCAAACTTGAAACAAAGAACGTACCATGGGACCCAACCTGGTTCATGAATCCACATATACTAGATCCCTCGGGTCAACTATTGCAATTCGAATTACCTAAACTTCACACTTTGAAAACATCTATTTATTTACCAATCGAATTCTTGAGAATCTTTCAAGCATCAACCAATCTTTCAACTCTGTTATTAGATACAACTCCTTTGTTAGGAAGTCAAGATTTACTTGGATTGATTGCTGATAACGTTTGGCCTAATCTTCAACGATTTGAAATTACACATCGCACCGCTGCAGCTGCAACGCCCTTCCTCTCTTGGACTGATATCAAGAACTTGGAGATCTTATGTCAAGGACGTGAAATTGAGATGAATTTCAATTCTGAGTATGACTATGACTATGATGAGGAGATGTGGCGACAACAGGAGGAGGAGGAACTGAACGAGACAGATTAAGAGGATCACGACCAAGTAGGGCACTTGGAAATGTCACAAGATTGAGAAGAACTCGGTGATTCAGAAGATGGGGATTAGCTTGTGATGTCTTAATTTGTACCTCTACTTAACTAAATATTCGAGATGAGCTGATCTTGGGCTTCTCAATTCAGTTCACCTTGTGGTACAGATGTCAACTTGCAAAATGATTCACATATCTAACCCAACAAAGTCCCCCTTGGTGAGTGAGCCCGCAAGAGATGGACTTATGGTTTATCCATGAAATTTGGTGTGTGAGCAAGAAACTTTTGGCTGGGGAGTTTTTCAACCTGCCATAACTTCTCACCCTTCAAATAAACAGTCAATTGGCTAAAGAAGGTTGATGTGTGCCTGCTCAACCTACATACATTCATGTATCTAACTGCGTATTTGATGCAATGATTGCAGAGCAATGAAAGGCTGAAGTTTGCAAAAAAAAACCAAGAAAGCTTGCTGTGCCACCCACCCAGTGTTTTGACATGTAGAGGAGAGCACAGGCAACTATTCCTATCTACTCACACAAAAGTTGCTCTTGGTATGTGGAGTAGAAAAAATGAAGATAAGATTGTAGGAAGGGCCATACTGATATCAGGCACTGCTCTGGTTTTTTGGCACATCAAAACCCAACCCAGGATAGTTTGATTAATGATGTTCAAGCCCTACTCATATTCACAGCAGGAAACCACAAAAATATTGAGAAGCTTACATTTGAGACCCCTCTGGCTTCTGTTGGGTTGTGCTGTTGAGCCTTATGTAATAGAAATCATTGACTTGGCCATGACCCTGACATGCAAAGTGCGCCAAAGAGTAGCACATGTGCTTGAGGTCTACCAGCTGGATAACCTGACAGGCTGGCAACAGGCTCCTGGCCCAATCTCACCCTTTGTCGAAGAGTCCTTAAGTGATTCTCATACCTAGTAGTCTTTGTTTGGACTCTTCCTTAAGAGTGTGTTTTCCTTTGATGTCAATATTAAAAAATGGTAAGCACTCAGCCCTTGGTCTTCAAAACTTGCGCCAAAGACAACTTGTGGGTACCTATTGCGGAAATAATGAAATCATCAAAGTTGTAACCATCTAAACTCAACAGGCCTTAGATCAGTCATATAACACAGATGAAAATGTTGGATAATCTTGGGAAGAAAATGAGAAAATTGATAATTTAAAGACTTGATGAAGTCATTCAGACAAATCAATTATCATAGTGATATAAATGTTTGCCAACCTAATTCAATTTAAGTACACACCCTTTAAATCTAAAATCAGAAAGACATACATTCCTGATTTCCAGTGGCTTCTATGTGATATGTCTCCAAAAATCAAATCAAATGTGGTGTGACTTTGAGGATTGAAATACCTTCAACAATGGAAAGACGCCAAAACTGTTGATAATCTAAAACAATATATACACCTTCAACCTATCAAGACCTTATAAATCCAATCAATCATATTGAAAAACAAAATGGAACGCAAAAAACCCAATCAAATCTTCTTACAACCGATTTCCATCATTCGATCTAAATCTTCAATCTTTTCTCTAACTTTTCCTTTTTGGATTCCATTGATTTTCTCAACTTCATCAATTATTTTCCACTGATTCCAATCCATAACGTTTTCCTTACCATTGATTTTTAAATCATTTGATACATTATGTTTATCAAGTTGATTGTTTTGTATATCTTCTATAAGTTTATCTATGGTTAGAAATGCATCATACATTGTATTTGCTATTACTCCATTGGCTCCTCTTGATAACCATCCTGATACATAAAGACCTGGGATCTTGATTTTAACAATCATGTAAATCGATATTAGCATTTGATAGTTTGAAGAGAGAGTAAAATAATAGTCAAAACTTACCACTTCTCCTTTTTCATTGATGACTCGACCATCAATATTGTTCACGGAAGTTTGTCGGGAGTTGTACGGAATTCCTGAAATCACTTCAGGGCGATAACCGATACTCTTGATGACTAAATCGGCCTGTGAAGTGAATGTATGAGACGGTTCCGAAGGAATGGCAGTTGCAGTCGAGAGGTCCATGTGGGGCTTAATTTCTGTAGGTTTCGGGTTCAATAGTCGATTCCTTTGCCATTCGATCTTCTTCACTGGTTGTCTTTCTGTTGATGTAAAGTTAGGATCAGGATGAAAAGCAATAGGTGATCTAAGGAATCTGAATGACCAAGATCGATGGCTAGATGTTTGATTCCGTTGATTGGTCATAGATTTTGACATTAATTCAATTAATCGTTTCCTAAGTCTAGAGTTTTGTAAATGATTCAAGATTTCAGGTTGTCGTATCAATTCAATGGATTCATTTAAGATTTCTAAATCTGTTTCAAATCTAACATCTTTCAATGATAACAGTTCTCGTAGTTCTTTGGTTGTACATGGCATTTGTAAAGGTCCTCTTCTTCCTACGATTTCAACTTCTTTGATTTGACTATTTGATAAGTTTTCTAATGCTCTTTCACTTATATCCGTTTTTGCCAGTTGATCTATATCAGTTAATAAGATTCTAGCAATATCAAGTGCTACATTTCCTTGTCCAAGTATCACCACCTTTTCAATCTTACTCAAATCGATATCAAAAGAATTAATTGGATCATTTGATGATGAACGTGGATAACTGTTATACCAATTCACAACTGATCTTGCAGGTATTATATTACTTAAATTGGTTTCTCCTGGTATACCTCCTAAATCTCGATCTAAACATGATCCATAACTAAGAATCACGGCATCATAATAAGATCTAAGTTCTGAAATTGTAATGGTTGCTTCGGTATTGAATGATATCCTTTCTTCTTTTTCTCCTGTTAATCTTGTATTACCGAAAAATTTCACTCTAGGGTCTTGAGCAACTTCTTCAAATTTATGCTCACAATTCTATAAAGAAAGAAAGAAAGAAAAAAACTTAATTAAAACTTTCAATTCAAAGGAACATATTTTTTTTTGGAGGGGAGTATAATTTGATAGATTTATTACTTTACTTTAACTTCCGGATGATCAGGTGCAACACCATATCTACTTAAACCAAAAGGAGTAGGAAGTTTATCAAATAAATCGATTCGTATATCTTGATGATCATTCAATAAACTTAATAATCGAGAAGCCGAATAAAATCCAGCTGGACCTGCACCACAGATTGCGAAACGATAGGATCGTGCCAAATGTGTTGTTGGGATTTTGGTTTTGGTGGTGGTGGTGGTTGTAGTGAGGTTTCTTGATAATGAAAATGGGTTAAGTTTGAAGCTTGTTGGATGGATAGGTCTTGTTCGAATGAAAGAAATCGAATGAGAGAAGTATAAAGTCATTGGAGTCCACAACCAATTCAAAATTTATCAACCAATTCAATCAACTGCCATCAGAGGCTTGCGAGCTGAGTTTCACAGAATTGGTGAACACTGCGTGAAACCCAAAAAAATGTCAGAAGGTTTGGATCTCAGATAAAGTGTGGCATTGCTCTATCACGTTCAATCACCGTTTCTCTAAATTCTCAGTTCTGGGGACCTCGTATCACGTGCTGGAATGGACATCAAGCCACCTGAACCTGGCCAAAAGGTTGTTCCAACTCCTCGGCAAAACCAGTTGATGAAAAAGGACACGGCAAGCGTATCGATTGCGGCTGACCTAACGGGTCTTTGAAGAAGACTACCCCTTTCACGCGTCATTCTACGGCCCCTCAAATCATGCTCCCTTGATCAGGTGGCCATCGTGGGCCCTGCAGAGTCTATGCCGTTCTTTCATCAAAATTCGAGCAAAGAAATTCGCAACTCGGCACCTACACTCTGAGTCTAGCGTCTTGAAGAGGCAGATGATATTTCAAACGAGTTCCGGGAGTACCAACATTGTTGTATACATATCTGGGAGAGACGTAAGCTTTGTAAGAATTGGTGAAACTGTTCGATGTATCAACATCTCGAACCAGCAAGAACAGGCGTGAAGGTAAATAAAAAAACATGAAACATCAAGTAAGGCTGAGCGAATGAACGGGTAAACCAAGTCGTATTTATTAACCAAGGACCGACAAAGACGTAGGGAAAACTTTTTCCAGAACAAGCTGGCTAAGCGTGGTCGACATCAGTCACATTGATTTGCCTATTTAATTGAATCAAAACCGTGCAAGGACATACCAAAGGTAGATAGAAACCACATGAAAGATTAACTAAAGATGGAAAAATGAGTAGAATGCGGGCAAATTTTGGTAGCAGAGGAGACAAGTGTTGATCCAAATGGAACTACGAGGACTCCCATTAGGCATGCCTACAATTAACAGATTTCAGGTTTTGTTTATCCAAATGTTATCAAACGTACATACACTTGTGCGGTTTTATTTACCTGGGTTTCGAATGATCATCATTAGTTTGTTACAGTCCTTTGCAAGAAAATGCTGATGTTTGAGAAATGCTCAGGGTTACGGTCTGGTATGTTATCTCGTTAGATGGCTATGAGATCCAAATTCTTTGAGGCACCAGACTGCTTGATCGAGCGTTTTGTACAGCCCATATTTTCTATCGGACCACCTGATCGCAACGCTTCATGTCAAGAACAATGACGCGCATTTCTTTCCTTTCAATTCATGTAATTTTGCTGCTGCTCCCTTTACTTTACTGCTTCGCTTTTCATGTCCCTCTTCTATCAAAACCCGCTATCACAAAACTGGATAAAAATGGAGACGACCTCAAGACTTTACTTCTAGAAGACTCTTTCACAGCTTTCCAAGCAGGACAAGAGAAACTAAATCAAGGAAATCTCAAGTCTATCATTGATACAACAAAACTCATAGGAACATTCAAAAACATTTTCAAGGCGAAGACCCGACCCAAGACTCCTGAAAGTGAAGTTTTAATCACCTGGGAAGTATGCTATGATATTGCTCAAAAGATTTTCGAATCATCTGAGTCTTCTGAAGTAAAATCCATGGCCAAAGCTGTGCTAGACCTAGGCTCTGATTTTGATTTTCACCAACATGATCCACGATTTAAAATGGGAGATGTCATATCTGCTATCACTCTTCATTCAATTTCTCTAGAGAATGATTCTCTAGATACAGCGGAGAAGATTTGGTCCGTTGGGGTACTCTGATACCTAAGATCTCGCATTCCGGGGGTGGAATTAAACTCTGCACACTCTGTAATTCCTGATTCCTGGACATCTGCCGACTTGGGTAGGCCTCGGGCACAATTTTTTTTTTTTTCTGCAAGGTAAGTGATGTAGACTTTGAATATAATGACATACCAATAACTGAGACCATGATTTGTCTGAATGTAAATGCCACTGAACAGACAAAGACTTGGGAAAGGTACTTCAGGAGATGTGGTTAAAGTTCCCGTCTAGAGAAGAAACATCCCAATACAGTGAGTGACGACTATGATCTATCAAAATAACTTTCTAATTTCTTCGGCCGATCCCAGTCATCCAGGAGGCAATCCAAAGGGAATCAATTGTACATCTTGTCAAAGGAGAGCTTCTCATGGCCAAGACCCCCAATCTACCATCAGCAGAATTCCAAAGACTTTATCTCGCTTTTATCAACTTGAAGACTCCCATAGATTCCAAGAAAGCTTCATCGTTGATGAACTTGATTATGAAACATCTGAGTCATCCAAAAACCCCAGAGATGGGTGCCTTCGATGAGGACGCGAACACAGTACGATTATTATTACATCTTGAGGAATATCATCAGGAGAGCTATCTACAATCCAAAGCATTGATCAAAACGCAGAAGGTTCAAGAGAAAATACTTCAGAGTGACATAAGTTTCCAACTTTCAGATAGCAGATTATCATCACGCGTCAAACGTCTTTTGAACGAACTTCAAAACACAAAATTTATCAATGAGCAGCATATCTTCACGATATTTCAAATCTTGAAACAAGAAAAAATGTCAGGTCCTCAACTAGGAAGATTTTTCAGAGCCTTAAATCTTGTCTTCAACGGAAACAAGGTGATGTATCAGCACTTTGATCACCAACTGAATGAATATCCCGAAATTGTTTCAAAGCTTTTGAAAATGTTGATAAAGCGTCGGTATGGTCGAATGGACCCTGAGTTGTTTGCGTGAGGATCTCTGGAGAATCGGATATATATTGAACGTAAGTCAATCTAAGTGGTCACTTATGATGAAGCTCACTGATCTCCATCTTTCATTCATTAAAGACGAATATCGTGCAGCAAAGAAGTATAGAAGTTCTCTTGTAGAGGCTTTGATATCCAAAGGAGTGCTTTCAGAAAGTGATACTGCTGAAGATTCCGAAAACTTGCGCGGATCGTTCAAACAACCTCTCCTCACGAGTATGTTGTATGTGATCTTCAAGAAGGTTTCGGAAGCCAAAACATTTCAGCACAACGATAAGGAGACAGAGGCCATGCTTATAGAATATATCCTCCATCTCATCTCTTTTAAAATGGCTGATAGGACGCTATACCATCATCTTCTCACATATCGGCACACAAAGAAATTTTCTACGCATTCGACTCAGGCCTTCAATAGGTATAGTAAAGAAATTTATCTTTTTTTAAAGGATAAAGCTTGGTATCATAGTGGCCGATTTGATAAATTCACTGCAGCTTTTCATGAACTTCAATGGCGGTTGCTTTATTTAGATGTCGTTGTATGAGGTGATCACTTGTCTTGATCGGAAAGAAATGTTGACCATGGGGATGAGCAAAGGTAGCAAAACTTATCACCTGGGCAAGATGTACCAGCTTCAAGACGTGATTTTAGCTTTTGTAACACTTATTGCATTACGTTCAAAAATGGTATCCATAGTGTGAGTAATTGTCTTCATTTTGATGGCAGTGATCACATTGATTGAAAGGGGCTACAGATGCTGAGGCATGCACCTTGTTTTGTAATTGCGCATATCTCATATCACAACAAATTGGGGCTGTGAATGAAAGTTTAAAATTGGAGAAGATGATGAAACATGTGATCAATTATATCTACATGAGCACATTAAATTACAGAACTGTGCCCTCGATGCTCTGTAATGATGAAGCTGAGGTCCTAGCTTGGAGCAAATATGCCGGGAATGCCGTAGTTTTGACAAGGGCTGAGGTGACTTGAAGGTTTGTGATCACCATGAAAACATAGCTCACCGGGTAATTTGGTAAGATAACACTGGCCGGTTAATTTATGAGCTGATTAAATGATCAACGGGATGAATTGTTAAGTAATATTGCAAATTTGGGGCTGAGTGATATTGAAGACGGTGCTGACAAGGAATCTTTGAAAATGTGATGTAGAGATCTCAATGCAAAAGAATACCTCCCACCGAAGTACTACCAAACGGAAGACTGCTGTCCCCATCTGGTATTTTAAATTGCTAGGTTGATGATTTCACCATCCAGCTCAATTAGCAAGGGTATAGAATGACCAGCCATTGATCGTTCGCTATGCGCGTGTTTCAAATTGGCTTGTGACCATACAGAGGTTTTCCGCCTGCGGCCTGTTCAAGCAGGCTAGTATGACGAGCCATTTCTTGATCGCTGACGCTATGCGCGCGTTTCAAATTGTTCCGTGAAGCTGAGGCCCGGGGGGCACGTGAAGGTGAGACCTGTTAAGCAGACATTTTTGCCCCACAAAGAACATTGACAACGTTCAATTCCAAGATCTGATGTGATCGAGCCATTCAATTCAAAGAGTCGGCCGCTGTCGGCCATGACCCTAAATCGAGCAACTCTACCAATACATAATCAGCTTTCAACAGCTGCGGACCAAGTCTTTTGACCTTCAGAAATTTCCTATCTAGACCCTAAGTAGCCAACCATCTTTATGACACAGGCAACATGTCCAATATAAAATTCCTCACGATAGCTTGCATAGTCTTCTCCGTAGTTTACTCTCGATTTGATGGAAGATTATTCTTGCAAGACAAAACCATCGATAGGATTCAAGCCACGCAAGTTTTTAAACCCATGAACCCAAACTTTCAATATCGCTCAGAGAGTCTCCTCAACGCTGAAGTGGAAGTGATCCAAACTGAAAGAATTGAATTTATGAAAAGAAAATTGAAGAATTTCTCGAGTTTTCAAATGGCAGTACATTATATGCAGAAAGGACCTTTTGAAATGTTTTTTCATCAATTTGTTACTGCATTGGGTAAAATCCAAAAGGCACTTAAGAGTGGAGAGCCAAATCAACAATTAGAATATCAGACTATCTCTGAACTTCTTAGATATTTGCAAAGAGATGATCTCAAAGACAACCTCCGGTTTGTCTGCTTAAGTGTACTACGGATTTTTTTAGAGTATTTACCCATGTCATTTCTCAAGTCGATGAGGACTGACATAAATCAAGGTCCTCTGTGCCGAGCTGCACTCGAGCTCTCATTGACAAAAGGTGTGCCCTTTTGTGTGATCTATTTTAGGAAAAACAATGTGATAATAGATCTGACCATCAAGCACTCTAATCAACTCTTCCATGAGTAGGGTTTAAGGGGATGAAACCGATTTTCAAAGCCGCCAAGACTCACGTCTTCAGAGAAGATTATCCAGGTGTGCTTCTCCAAGTTTTTAAAGCCTTAGAGTCAGACGGAAATGACAATAATGATTGCATTTTCCTTCTCAGGTTGGTTAGAGGTTTTGCACAGAGTTGAGCTACTTGATTACATAAGAACAGATCAACTAGAAGCAAATGAATTCCAGTCAAGTAATTCCATCATCAAGCTCCATGATGAACTGATCCAAGAAAGCTTTTCACTTGAAAGAAATGCAATTGACATGACTAAGGTCTGCATTGAGTTCATGAAGGAACCACTAGAAACTCAAAACCACAAAGAATGGCAAAATCACTACATGATACTTACACATCTTGTTAAGTTTAGTACAGCAAGTAGAAGATACCTTAAAGAAAAGAGTACTGGAAACCCTTTACTTCAGGAACTTTTTCAGAGAATTTTAAGATGGAAAGATATCAGACCAGTCATAGATTCTTTTTTGTTAATGAATGATGCTGATCCTTACATAGCTAGTTTACTCCTTCCTTTTGGGAAGTACAAGCCTGTTACTCTGGATCACTATGAGTACATCATCAAAGTGTTGGAGTTCCAAGTACAAGCCAAGGAAGAAGCACAATTAAAATCACAAGTACAGAAAGAAACACATCCTCATGATGAATTAAAGGAGGATCCACTGAGGCATTACTTACCAGAAACTAAAGAGATAGAGAAGTTTGAAGATCATAAGAGCTTTGTTATCAACATTTTCTATGATGCAAGTGCTGAAATTCCAGGCGCTAAGGCCTTGCTAGATAGAAAATTGGAGTTGAAAGGTAACAGTGGATTTGATCCATAGTTTCATTATTGTAGTTCTTGGAAATGATAACCAGATCATATCACTCCATACTGATGAAATTGGTTCTATTTGATTCACTTTTGTAAGAAAATCAATATCAACTGAAGACCAAATCTATTCCCCCCATGGAAGCCCCCGGAAGTCATGAATGTGTGATCTGTCTATCTGACTTTAAGTTTGGGGAGCGTGTAATCAAACCAGATTGGGTTGACAAACATGTTTATCATTATGATTGTCTAAAGGTCATCAATAACTCTTTGTATTCTCATTTCCGTCCCAAAATTAGCTAACACCTTCATCTTGATCTGTTTATATCACAGTCATATATGACTACAAAAAAAACAGAGAACCCATCATGCCCACTTTGTCGTGAGCCAATTGATTTGCCAATTCCTGTTAAACAACATGTATTCTGGATGGGAAAGACTGGTTCCGGAGCAAGTACATCTAGTTGAACAATTTTCTCTCAGTCATCTTCTGTGGGGTATTTACCTATCATAATTTACCCATCAAATCCATACTTTTGATGTATTTCTGTCATATACTTTTTGTCTTGAATTTGGGTCTGATAATGAAGCATTCTATGGCAGTTGTTTTAAGAAAGGTTGAAAAATTGATCAAGAAAAGTTGACATGTGGTCCGTGTTCATGGTGGATGTAGCCGTAATGTGGGCGCATTCCAACAGCCACATACCGCCATTACAGCCCACCTATAGCACTTTTGAGCCTTACAATTGCAATCAATACAGTATCTCACACTAGCTGCCAAATTTTTGATGACACAATGGTAAAGCCACTGGTAGTGATGAATGTGTTTTGCTTGGAGATCACGTTTGAAACATCTGTGTTGCTTTTACTTTTGAGTCCATGGCTCATCACAAAATGGTACAAGTTTTTGTTTGTGAGAAAGTTTTTCCCAAGTTTTTTGCCTCTCAGGTATACCAAAAAGCATCATCTTGAGATAATAATCATGGTGCTAGCACATTCCCATTGAATGTTCTAACCCTTGTTGCCATTGTAGCACTCCTTATACTTAGCCAAGCATCTGTTGCACCATGCACTTGGAATTGCTATAAAGACACAAGATGTTAGAAGCGTGGAGGGATCTGATCAAGGGACTTCAAGGGTATTCAAGTACTATAACGAGATTGCAACGTAAAGACTAGAAAATCTCTGACCAGTGATTGGAAGTACAACTGAGACTAGTACAAGCATAACTTAGTATAAGCATAAAGGGCTCATAACATCACTCCCCCTTTATGTCCCAGCTCCCTCTTGCTGAGCCTGACATCTTTTCCACGGGTTTGCATTAAAAAACCCACTTGAGGAAAAAGTGTCACCCTCTCACTAACCTTCTTGCCTTTCTATATGATTTTTCTTTTCCAGGAAACCTTTTATTAAATTCATCTACTAAGTCCTTTGCATTTTGAACTCCTGCTTCTGGTTCCCACGAATCTTGCTCCGGGCCGTAACCTTTCCAATTAATCAAGTATTCCACCTTTCCATACCTTTTCCTTTTGTTCAAAATTTCATTTACTTCATATTCATTTCATTGTTGATCACTACTGGAGTAGGTGGTTTGTTAGTTTGATTCTTAATTTCACTTTCTTCAAATCTTCTTAATAAGTTTACGTGAAAGACCGGATGTATTTCTTTCATGGAATCTGGTAGCTTCAACTTGAAAGCATTGGCGTTAATTTGTTTAACAATTGAATAAGGACCCAACCATCTATGTGCAAATTTGGCTGATGGTCTCGTCGTCGCAATATTCTTGCTGTTTACCCAGACCTTGTCGTTGATTTTCCACATTGGTGAAGCCTGTACCTTCTTATTGAATTGAATGGTCATCGATTCTTGAGCTTGTTCCATTGCACTTTTAAGTTCTTGCTGCACCTCTTTAATTCTCTTGAACTGTTCCTCAACAATAGGTAGGTATTGTCCAGAGTTCGGCACACCTGTGAAAGTTACGTCAAAACCATAATTAGCTTTAAATGGAGACATGCCTATGGCCACATGATGACTATTGTTGTAGGAAAACTCGGCTATTGGTAGTAATGAGTGCCAGTCGTCCTGCATGTAAGTGGTGTAATGTCTTAAATAGCCCTCTACAGCACGGTTCGTTACTTCTGATTGCCCATCTGTTTGAGGGTGGTACGCAGTCAAAGACTGAGTACTGATGCCTAATTTACGATGGATGTCTTTGGTGATTTTCGATATGAAGACACTTCCTCTGTCAGAAGTAATAGACTTTGGTGTCCCGTGTAACTTCCATACTTGCTTGATCATAATGGTGGTTAAATTGTCTGAGTTCATCGTTTTCTTACAACCTAAGAAGTGAGCCATTTTAGTTAGCCTATCTACCACCGTTAGTATACAATCAAATCCATTGGATTCAGGTAAGTCTGTTATCATATCGTAGCATATGTCGGTCCAAGGGCCATATGGTATTGGTAGAGGTTGTAGAGTCCCAAATGGTTTAGTCATTCTTGCTTTTACCCTTTGACATGATTGACAACCATCAATGTATTTGTTTACATATGATTTCATTGATATCCAATAATATGATCTTTTTACTAAAGCTAGCGTTCAATTTCGGCCTGGGTGGCCTGCTATTCTGCTGTCATGTCTTGATCGTAAGATTTCTAATTTAAGCTTGTCATTATTGGGGACAACTATCCTTCCATGGCGGTACAATAGTCCTTCTTCAGTGTTGTAACCATCTAGTAATCGTGACACCGGCATGTCCTTGCATAATTGAATTAGTTCCTTGATTTTCTGGTCTGTTGTTGACTTCTTCCTAATTTCCATAATGATTTGAGAGTCATTCCACACCTTATCCTGCTCATCTGTGTTGTCTTCGCTGATTTTGTTGGCCAATATCGAGATTTCGTCCAAGTCATCATCTACCCATGATTCAATTAGATCAAGTTCGTCTAGGAATGCGTCGGTCGGGAGGTTTGCAGGTTTGAGCAGTTGTCCAAAGGTTAGCTTTTCACCTTTACTTGGCATCAAATCAGGACGCCTCAAAAGAGCATCTGGTTTTGTGGACTGTTTGCCGGGGCGGAAACGTATTTCAAAATCAAAACTTCCTAGGACCTCTGCCCATCTGGCCTGCCTTCTCGTTAGTTCTTTGGTTGACATTAAGGACTGCAAGTTTTTGTGATCTGTGTAGACTATTACATTGAGTCGGTGCGGATTTCCTTCTAAATATTGTCTCCATTCTTTGAATGAAGTGACTACCGCTAGTAATTCTTTGTTGAATATTTCATAATTCTTTTCAGCTTGTAATAATGATCTTGAAAGGAATGCAACCGGGTGAAGTTGTTCGTTGTCAATTGATATTTGTGATAGTACCACACCTAGTGCAAAATCTGAACAGTCACATTCTAAGATGAATGGCCTATACGGATTGGCTATTTTTAAAACTGGAGCTGAGGTGAAAGCTATCTTGAGTTTTTCAAAGGCTTCTTCTCGTCCTTTGTTCCATGAGAAAGGTTCGTTTTTGCGTGATAATTCGTGTAGTGGCTTGGCTATTTTGGAGAAATGTGAAATGAAATGTCTATAAAAGTTGGCAAATCCTAGAAACATTTGCACTTCGGTTAAATTTTTTGGTGCTGGCCAGTCTTTCACCGCCTTCACTTTAGTTTCATCCATTCTGATTTGATTCCTAGATATCACCAGTCCTAAGTAAGAGACCTCACTGCATGAAAATGAGCATTTTTCGGGTTTCAGCCACACATTTTGCTGACGTAAGATGTTAAGGACTTCTTTTACAACTGCTTTATGGTCTTCTCCAGGCTTCGTGTAGATGAGGATGTCGTCTTGATAAGCAGCAACATTTCGTCCAATGTGATTCTTTAAAATATCTTGAATGAAGTACTGAAAGAAGCCAGGGGCTCCCGTTGGTCCAAAAGGCATGGTTAGCGGTTCAAACTGCCCTGCTTTGCAAATAAACGCAAGCTTGCCTTCATCACCTTCTCTAATGCGTAAGTTGTTGTAACCGTTTCTCATGTCCAAGCTTGTGAATTCATCTGCATCTAATAGACTATCAATTAATTCCATTGTTAATGGTAATGGATACTTATTTTTGACCGTTAACACATTCAATCTTCTGTAATCGAAACAAGGGCGTAAATTGCCATCTTTTTTCCCAGTGAACAGTACCGGAGGGGCCCAAGGTGATGTCGTTCTTCTGATAGTTCCATTAGATAATCCTTTCTCAATCATTTCGTTGAGAGCATCATTTTCTTTTGGTGATAACGGAATTATTTGACCTGCTTGCGGAGTAGCGCCAGGGATTAGATCCACTCTGAAGTCATAAGGTCTGTGAGGCGGTAGGACATTTGAATTATTCTTCTCAAACATATGCAGGTATTCATGGTAGGTAGCGGGTACTAGCTCAGCCGCGGTCTTGACAACTTGATCCTTCTTTTCATCAGCTGCTAATTTTTCTGAAATGTTCCATGACGTTTTGGCAGCAGCGATTTTATAAGTCGGGTATGACTGATTAAATTTGTGATGAAATTGGGTCGGCTTTGTGTATCTCTTCTCAATGTTCGTTAATCCTTGCAAGATTCGTTGTCTGTTCATTAAAGGAGAAACAAGATCGCTACCGGTCTTTGAAACTGGATTTGATATGGTTGCATTGCACTCACATTGTGGGGGTGTTAAAGAGTTAAACTTGAACTCCACCCCCTCGTCACGGTTCTTAGCGTGCCTGAGAGGCTCCTTAGACAACAACCAGGCTTTTTGCAGACCTGACAAAACTGTTTCAACAGTTGCAATTTCTTCTTCTTCTTTTTTGAGTTTACCAGATTTCCAATCAATGATTTCATAATTTTTCTTTATCCAAGGCATACCCAAGATTAAGTCATACTTGTCATGGAGATTAGTGACTATGAACGTCGTGGAGTCTTCATCTTTGTTGATCTTGTACTTGCCTACTTCATTGATACGTGACTCATGTCCACTAAAACCTACCACAGTTTGTGATTCTTGCAA